TTTATTTACAAACAAATCTCAAATGACCGTTGATAAAAACTGTATTAAAACGTGATCCAAACGAAATCTAGAATCCATCAGATGTAGGTAGGTATTTTCGCGTCCTTATCATTTTCGTTCTCACGCAAGTACGCAATGTGAAAACAGACGTGATCGAACAAGGAGACCTAGGTACGAAAACAGGTCGTAGGTAAAATTCGCTTTTACCCATTTCCAACTGATTTCTCATCTATTCTGAGGCAATTTTGTCAGTGTTTTTAATAAACAGATCTTATAACTTTACCCGTTAAAACAGTTGATACACATATTGATAGGTGTGATCTCTTAATTTCATGATTCATTTCTTCCTGTCCTTTCATCTTTGCCGAATCCCAATAATTTAGTAGCCCGGCTGGACTCGCCAGCCGGGCTACTTAAGGAATAGTTTGACTAGCCCGCCGCTGTTTTGCCTAGCATTTGGCTAGCGGGCTACCGCTAATTTCGAGCCCTGTATAAAGGCCTTAATCTAAAGTCAATACCTTAACTTAAGTAAGACGGTTAGATCAAATACAAATATTACAAAGAAAAGAAATCGCTGGACAAAGAAAACAAAGTATCTATTGAATATCTCTTTACGCACTAAAAAGGAAGTTGAGAAGGGCTTGGAGGTAACCTAATTTCTCCTGATCTTGTGCACGTGCCCTTTGTTGGTTTCATAGTTTACAGCCTTACGGGGGGAAGGACGCAGGTCCCATTGATTCCGAGACAAGCAAACCGGCACATGAGTTGCCTTTGGCACGATGCTGGAACAATGGCCAACACAGGCTTTGGCGGTGATTAGAAGGGGAGACGACCTAAAAGCCTGCGGGTGGTGCGCTGCAGACCGCACGGTGTTGAGGAGTTCGATCGCGGTGGATTATACACTCGTGTCGTCACTGAAACGTGGATGCACAGTCACTCCATCCACACACTCGGCGGCCCTGCGGACAAACTTGTTTTTTTTTCAGCAAATCAATTGATGGATGGAAAGATACTTGCCTTTCATAAGGACACTGTTTGTGTCAATGATTTCTTTCTTGTTAATACAACACTTACATGTAGAATCAGTCTGAGAAAAATGTTTTCCTTTTATTTCATTTCCGGGAGGTACAGGCGTAAGTAAAAAGCCGCTCAAAGGTATAAGGAACTACATGTACTACAATTTAGAAGCAAAGACGGAGACAAGGGTTGCTTACCTGTACCCCCAAAGCAAACCTGAGCGGTGCGATAGAGATACATGGTCAATGAAAGTGCCACTCAAACAGAGTCCAGATGGCACTACACCCGCCTCCTCATGAGAGCGCAAAATATTTACTGGAAGGAACATAAGACAAAGGCGAAAATATACGGCAGCATCCAACATATCTCAACTACAGTAGCACAACGCAGAGCCCGCCTTGCCGGCCACTGCTATTGAGCCCAGTGGCGTAGCCCCCATGAAACATTGTCGCCCCCCCCCCCCAGTCGCCCCCCCCCACTGAGATTTTGAGTTTCTAAAACAATTATCATTGATCTACATGACGCCCCCCATGAAATGTTCCAGCCCCCCAGCGCCCCCCCCCCCCCCCCCCCCCCCCCCCCCCCCACTGAAAAATTCCTGGCTACGCCACTGATTGAGCCAAAGAGCAAGATGTCTCCAACCTCATCTGCTGGCGATTGCCTTGCCCCAACAGAGGGAGAAGACCCCTCAACTACGTCGACCCTGTATGAAATGATGTGAGCCAGCACGTTGATGACATCACCACGGCCATGGCGGACAAGAGAGTCTGGAAGAGTTTGGTTGCATCCATCTCGGCTGCAGCCACCCAATGATGATGATGAGAGATACATGCTATACATGAGCAAATTCTAAATAAATTGCTCTACTTTTTCGGATTTATTTCAAAGCTGATCGAACGCCGTCTAAAAACAAGAATTCATGTTGACTTAGTATACTGACGTCAGTATAATTTTGTCAACGCTGACATGTACCCCTAAGTAAACATGAGCGGTGCGATAGGGATGCATGTTATACATGAGCAAGTTCTATATAAATTGCCCTACTTATTCAGATTTTGTTAAAAGCTGATCGAACGCCGTCTAAAAGCAAGAATTCGTGTTGACTTAGTATACTGACGTCGGCAATGTTGCCACTAACGCTGACAAGATGGTGGCTAGAATTTATTATCTGGGCATCACCAGGAATGCCGTGAAAGTGAGGCTAGATCGGTTAATTGTAAGCGCATAATGAATAAAGGCATTAAGCGACTAGAAACCAAGTCCTGAAGAGTAATGAACAATAATATTATAAAAGGGTACCGTACTTTGCCATCTCAATAAAGAATACACTTTCTTATTACTCATTGAAAAACAAAGCGAATGCAACTGTGAAGCGTCACGTGAATTGTTTTCGCTGCAAAATCACAAACGTTAAACTTGAACACACTTCAGTTTTGGCAATTTTCGTTTCGGATGTTTCGTGACGTCAAACTTCCTTGCACTATAAACTGGGCCTCCATGTTTATCATTACTGCCACGGAAGTCATCAATTGACATCACCGCACCATTCACGCAACAACAGCAAATTGTACTCTTTGAAACCCTTCCATCTGTCCTAGTCATTTCGACATCGTGTCCGCAGCAATAAATTGTCATTTGCCAAAGGATACAAGGCGCTATAACAAAGAAATGAAAAGGGACAAAAGACAAAGAAAAGAGGGCAGCAGATACGCTTTGGAGAAAACATGGGTCCAGAGAACCTTTTTGAAGGACAAACACTGATTGAGTTTCTGATGGGGATGGGTGGACTATTCCATACCGGGAATGTAGCAGGCCCTGTCACCAGCCTGTTTACGTGATTCGTGGATGACAAGGTACTCTCCAGCAGAAGAACGAAGGGAGTAAGAACAGTTCTGAATTTGTGATGTCTCATCTCATTGTGATCCGAATGTCTGATATGTTGGATACATTGTGAAAATTTGACATTCGTCGTGATCGTCAATCAGAGAAACCAGTGAAATCAGTCACCAGGAAACCCGTACGTGCCCCAGCATAGCGCGCAGGATAATAAGTACCTGACTCTGCACAATCAACCGGGACCTGGAAGATTTATAAAAGGATAATCCCCGCGGGTCCGATTGATTGAATCCTGCACAGTGGGAGTGAAGTCAATATTAGCCTCCGGAAATTTACCACAGCTTTCTGCAAACGAAATATCCAAATGTTATCCAGTGGGGGAGTCACGAAGGCAAGGCTGCAAATAAAGACGAGCCGTTTTCTGAAACATGATACCCCTATTGCTTCTGATAGAGAGAACGAGTTTGCGTTTAGGGACCTCGATGCGTGCTTGGCCGGTTTTAACCAAGTACGTTTTGGGGGCCTAGACGCTGATTATTGCCCGAGCCAAATTATTGGTAGTAACGGAAAGGGTGCACAATTATTCATAGGAGCCCAAATTTCATGTGACACCGGAAAAGTGTTTAAAACCTATTCGGTGCTGTATCAAACGTACAGACATTTGAATGGACGAGAAGAGTCACGCGAGCACCCTGGCATGAATATACCTCACACCACGAAGTCGGGAAGACGTGTCATCACGTCATTTTTGAAGCTATGTCGTCATGGACGGTTTCAAATGACACAACATTGCAAAGGTTTACCAATTCATTGTTGGATCATTTAAGGTTTTGAAAGTTGTCTTCATTAGCAGGTGTCCCTGTTGCAAATATTATTTATGGTAGTTTTTTCATGACTAGGTATTGTTGGTTGTATGTTGTGTTTGATGATTATTTGCTCAACTTTAGCTTGGCGTGCATTTGGTTGCCTCCAAGTTGCCTGTGAAAAGTGCCTCTTGAGTCTCAGGTGACCTTTTAAGTCGAGCTACTTGAATTTGTTTTAAATTTGTAATGTGCACTTGTTCGACTAAGCTTGACGGTCAGCGTGACTGCCGTACTAAGTCGAGCTATTTCTAAACTGCTCGACGTTTAGAAATGTCCGAAGCGTGTATTTTAGGAAAGCAAATACATTGAGAAGAACATTTTTTGCCGTCATTGTCGGGAAACCGTTTGTAAAGTTATTGATTTAATCAATTTTTAACAGATACTATAACACAGAGAATCATAGTTTGTATTAGTAATTGACGTTCTGGAACCATTTCAGACACTCATAAGGCATTCAGTCTTTTCCAAGTCACATTCTCACTCACGTGCCTTTCACTAATGACTGTCGGAACTAGAAATGTCATGCATGTTAGCGTCTTTTCACATATCTCTTTGCCCTGTCTAATTTCCGATCGGTACCGAACAAAAGTGTGTCTGCATCACGGCTTCAGGATACCCGAGCAGCTCCTTCTCAATATCGAACGGTTGACCCAAGGATGACGCCACTTCAACATTCACACTTTAGTTCCAACACATCATTGTCGATTCACCCAGCATTCACTCCAAAATCGTATGCGCTCGATAACATCTGAATCAGTCAGCGACCAAAGTGGAGTCATTGACGCCCGTTTCGTCTGCCTCCCAACGGGATAGCTTGGTATCTCCTATCAGTCCTGATGGTGTTGAAAAGTGCACTTTTGGGAGAAGTCGATCTGAGAGTTTATTCCCCCGGTGCGACATCTTCAGGAAGAGCCAGTGGCTTTGACCCCGATACCTGGTGATCAAAGGCCATTAAGATATTTTCCTCGTGTGTGACAAAATAAGTGTTATGCATATTTAATACGTCGTCTTGACACTCACTCGCGAAGTAAAGTTAAATGTCAACCTCGACAAGCCTAAGTTGGAGAGATAATGATTAATTCTTTCCAAGTTTAAATTACATTCATATTTGATAATCGAATCTGTTTGGAGTCATTGGGGTAGCAATCCAAATGTCACGCACTTCGGCGAGAGAGAGAGCAGAAAGGAAATTGAGAAGTGGCTTGCTCTAGAATGCAAAGCGCGAATATGCAATCCACTACCCCCTTCGGATAAGAACTCGGGTGTTGAAAATTGTCATTATAGATGAGGCTGGACGGATCGCTTACCACGTTGACGTTTGACTTCAACGCATGCAAGATTGAATATCGCAGTTTTCATTTGCCGCTACCAGGTGAACGCGATCAGATTTTTTTATTTTTTATATTTTTTATATGCACAGCTGCAGCTGTCAACCCCCGTATATGAAGCGACTCATACCGAGTCAGAAAGTCTTATCTTCTATAAATCTTGACGATTTGCTTCGAAATTGAGAGACTTAACTAGTAATGGAATAGTACGTCAAAATACTTTTGACGCGAAGGTCTCAGGTTAATCAGGTAACTTTCAATTTCTGCTCACGGAATGGGCAGACGTGCACTTCTTCAAGACTGAGACAAGGACTGGATCAGCGCTAACCATTGAAGCGCCATGCAATTTGAAATATATTGCGGGAAGCATTCACTCTGACGTTCTGCGTAAACGTCCATGTTAAATATCCAACTGTAAGATAAAATAGAATATTTTCGGATATAACATTTTCGAATGTTTTTCCAGTATCCTCTAAGCAAGGACATATACATATACACAGCTAAGAAAGATACTATTTGTCAGAAATGTTCTACTTTGCAGTTGCGAGGTCTTGAATGTGCTGCAAATTTAGAAAGGTAATTTTTAGAAAGAATCGTGTTAGAGTTAATTCCGGAAATTTGCCCTCGATTCATTTGTGCCCTTTTATTTTTACTTATGTGCTGTTTACATCCAACTTACTTAAAGAGTTCATCCAACTTACTTAAAGAGTTAATAGAGCGTGTTTGACTTAATACTCACTGGATTGAGAAATAGGCGTTAATGTAATATATATTTCATTGGAGAAAAAAAAACATTTTTAAATGTTTTTTTAACAGTTTTAATTATTTGTTTTCTGTATGTCGCACTTTTTTGGCACGCTCATGTACGTGGAGTCTAGAGTAATTTGGATACAAATTTTCGTTTTTGAACTTCCTACCACTGGCGCATCGCCGGACGTGGCAGCCATGTATTAGCATGGCCTTGTGTGATACTTACCCAAGTAAACGGCTCAGCTGGTCGGTTACTCAGGCCAGGCTCGAGTAAGCCTGAGAAGTCATATGAGAGTTAAATCGAACGTAGCCGCGCTTGCACGAGTAAGCGCAGGGGAAGTAATCGAACACGCTAGTTATTAAAGTAAGATTAAAATAACTGCCTCACAACGAAAATGGGTTGTTCTTCTCCATTTACGGATTGAAAGCTCCGCGTATTCAACTGAGAGTTCCAGCTGAGAGGATAAAAAGAAATAGCCAGGGACAATAAATTAGCCGCGGGATTGTTATCTGACCTAGAAATCTGAGGGAGTAATCAGCCGTGTCCCATCCAGGCGTACCCTGGATCACTTCCTCGAGACATATCTCTCTCCAGAGACCCATCAACATCGTTGACGGAAGGGGTGAACAGCCCCGAACTAGGGATGACACCGGGATACTATCAACAATTAAAGCAACCTGGGACCGCGGATCAGCAACGGTTCACCCAACTCACTTGGTGGGGCGTCAGGCTGTCCGAAGGACTAGTGATAAACAAAATACTATCTCTGACCGGCAGAGACTTGATCCTAAGCCGATGCTCCTATGTCCTTGCCTTAAGGAGTCGCAACCGTGCTCAATTAATCAGCAGGTGACTCCGCGGAAATTGGCAAAACCGAGTTCCTTCATCGAAAGTGGATCAGTTAATTATTTTCCATTCGTGGGCGAAATATGTACGGACGAACTGAAAGTTCCTTTAGCTTTTTTAAATACTCCACACCCATAGCGGTATACAAAATTAAAGAAATCCAAACGAATAGACATCGTCAGGAATAAGGTATTACTGAAATAGAAGCTTAATGAAGATAACCCATTGATAAGCAGGATTAAATATTATGTAATTTTCTGTGATCACTTTGCACCTACGTTTATGCATAATTAGCCCTCGCTGAGGATTGGGTTTTCTTATTTAAATTCATTAACAATAAGAGTACAATTCGTAATACATATCACAGAGGAACAAAGGACCTGTCCTCAGATCTGACTTCAGCTGTGAAAGGTCTATTAGAAGAAAAGTTCAAAAGTGTTAATGAGTGCCCAATAGACCATAATCACGTTGCGGCCATCTTGTTTTGTCCCTATTCAAATCAACGTAACCAAAGCGCGGCTGGAAGGAAAAATAGTCTGGTTCCTTTTTTGCACACAACAAACATCATTTAGTCGTGTTTTGGGATACAGCAAACATGACTGAAATGGTGGCAGCATGATATGATAAAGACCAATTGCCATTGGCTTGAGCCTCGTTTACATAATATTGCGAGTTAATCAATTCAAGAGCGTTAATCATTTGGTATAATGTTGGAACATTATTTTGTTTGCTTTTTCAGCCTTAACTTGGATCAGCACGGATACCTGGACGGATATTGCCGCCCGAGATTTCCGCATCATGGCTAACGTCCTGATGGTAACCGTGGAGAGCACAGAGGTGCCTGGGTTCCAGACGTACCTGAGAGGACTCAACCCCTTCTTGGAGGAGTTCAAAGATGATCCCTGGCTACGGGAGATCTGGGAGGGGGAATTCGGTTGCGAGATCGGGTCCCTGGAGGACTGGGAGTCTTCACGCACTTGCGCTCGTCATACGCTCCTGGAAAATGAGAAGATAGCGAAGTCCGCCGTGTCCCCGTCCATATACCGCGTGTATCTTGCAGTGTACGCTGTGGCACAGGCTTTAGCGGATATCGAGAGGTGTAAGGAGTCCCAGGGCTTACTGGCCGACGGAAGGTGTCCTTCAGTGCGACGCATCAAATCCTGGCAGCTCATGAAATACCTCATGGCGGTGAATTTCACCGTCGGCGGCATCGGCCGGCATGTGTCGTTCAACAGGGACGGTGGGATCATGGATACCTTCAAGGTCATCCAGTGGCACAGGTGTGAGGACGACGAGGTGCCAGACCCCGACTGTCAGATTGTCCGGTTTGTCGAAATTGGAATCCACAAGGACGGCGTGTTGTACATGAACGAGTCGAGAAGCCGTTGGTACGATGACGACACCAATATTGACTTGGTAAGTAAACAACACTGTTGCCATCGCTGGTCCCAACCGCCCAGCCATGTGCGTTTGTGACCGCCTATCCCTTCCCCAAACAAATCTGGGAAGGAATCGAAGACGTCGCAAGCATTGTTGGTAGGTCACTTGCTTGCGATTGCGACAATGTACTTGTATTTTTTTTTTTGCGCATGAGTCGTGCGCACAAGAAGTGCTGGGCCCTCGTCACATAGTTATACAAATGTATCCAATGAGAGCTCCAACAGATTCAGGTTACCTCACCAGCGCCCTTGGACAATGCGTTGGGGACGAGAGACCATTCGCTCGCACTCCCCGCCCTGGAAACAGAGCGCTGGGAAAGGCTGATGCCGCTTCACAGAATCTTGTGATGAAAGTACTGATGGCACTATGACTAACTTGTCTGACCTTCGCATGCAGCCAGCACGCGCTACATGTGTATGATAGCGCGTTTGTACGCTGCATGCTACGTCACAGGTCACGCAAGATCTATCCAATGAGAGCTCAAAGAGATCAGCCCTTTCCAGCGTCCTGTCTGCAGGGCAGGGGTAAGAGCGAAGTGCAGGGGCGGTGGAACTGGGGAGGGGGGGGGGGCACTTGCCCCCCCCCCCACCAGGTTTTCCCAGGCCAACAAAAGTACCCCTCTCGCGGTCATATTGTGACCCCTCGAGAGGAAAACAAAACTGCCCCTCAAATTCACACATGTGAAAGCATACGATCGCGCTACAAATAATATTGTTTCCTCTCTTGTAATGCAAAACTGCCCCTCAAAAACACAAGTACCCCTCTCACATTAACAAGATTGTGCACCTTCTCGAGATGGAAAACGTTCCCCGAAAGCACAAACACCCCTCTCGCAACAATAAAATTGTGCCCCTTTTGAGATGGGAAATAGTGCTCCTCTCGCGATAACTTATCGAGATGGAAAAACTGCCCCTCGAAAGCACAATTTAGTGCCCCGCTCGCAACATTAAAACTGTGCCCCTCTCAAGATGTAAAACTGGCCGGTAAAAACAATCGTGCTCCTCACGCGAATAAAATGGTCACTAAACTGGCCATCAAAGCAACAGTGTCCCTCTCACGATAAAAAAATTGGCCCCTTTGCATGGGCCTTACTAGTCCAATTCAAGTTCGGCCCCAGAGAGGTAACTGCCGGGGGTGTGCCTGAGGCCGAAGGGCTTTCCAAGTGATAAATTACTTTTTTTCCCGAGAACAATACGGCTATATTGAGACTATTTCTGGAATAGACACTGTAATTTTTTGAGTAAGGCAATTAAGATGTGTTTTGGTTAAATTTTGAACGCAAACATTTTTAAATGTGTATATCAATGTTGTTAGTAAATTCTGTTCCGGGTAACATGTACAAATGTATTCCTTGCAATGTGAACGTCTCCTCTTGCACCCCGAAAGAAAGTGGGTTTTTTTAGCACTGGGACCCCTTTTTGGTGATGCCCCCAGTTTGAAAAGCATTCCGCCGCCGCTGGCGAAGAGAGGACACAGTTGCCCTATATGACTACCTGCTGGCGCATTGCGAACCACGACTTTAAGGTTGGTGTTCTGCCTGATGAAAAGTGACTCCTGCAAAGTAATCATATGGTCGGGGTAACTTGCACTAAATGGACTCAAACCATAATGACATCAGGCTTTGTGTCGATAATTGCTTTCTTACGGCAGTCAGGTGGAGACGAGAGCCAATCAGCTTCCATAGGAAAGTGCACATGTAAACAGAGCGCGATGTCATTATGAAACCGCTATTATTGAAACCGCTATTACAGTTTGGGTAAAGCATTTCCATTGCACCCACGCACTATACAATGGTTACAAAAACAAACAAAGACCACACTGCGTTAACTTATCAATAAATGTTGTTCCCAACGAACACGTTTGAAATTATTAGAGTAAATATATTTAAAAATCGTGGAAAATATAAGGCACACACCGGGCTTCATTCCAGTTTTGTTCGTGCTGCAGCTACATGTGGCGCGAATATCTCCTCGCATTTCCTGGCCCACGGCGAGGCTTTGGTTTCAATGTACCGGGCTCTTCCTTCCGTTAATTCCACTGGGAATTAAAGGAAGGCGGTTTTTACGAGATAATTTATTGATTCATTTTTCATGCTGCTTTCGACCAGAACCGGAGAGAATTGCTCCTTTATGATGTCGTCTGGGATTTGGTTTTGACTATAATGCCGGGAAATGGGGAGTACAAGTGGTCCATAAAGAGGGAATCAATCAATATACCGGCAGTTTAATATTGGCTATGATCGCCTACACAGGGGACACTGAACCGAAGTTGAAGTCCTGGGTTCTGCAAAACCGGACTAAAGCTCTATAACAGAGCTGATGGATTTCGGCACTGACAGATAATACAATTTTTGCCGCACTTGCTCAAACCGACTCCCGGTAACGGATAATTCACCGATGTATCAGGTACCCTGGATCAAGTCATCGGTCTACACCTCATCCATTTAGCACTATCATACTCTCTCTCTATCTCTCTCTGGTTACTCTGGTCTATACTGAATCTCGATCGTTTCTACCCATTTTCTATATCAAACACGCCAAATGTACATGCGTTTCAGCGTCAATAACCATGGCCTGCATTTTTAAAGTGTTACGGAAGTTGTCCCAATTTCACCAAACCGTGCGCAACGCCTGGTGCGTTGAATGCTCATGAATGCTGTTGAAGGCTATTGTTTGAAACGCAACTGTGCGCGGAATAATACTGGGTGTTAATTGGCGGGAAGTTCAATACGTCATTACAACGGAGAAAGTTAACGCGTGAATAAATTAACGCGTAAAAGGAAAATACCCAACAACAAAGACAAAACAAGGACGGGTTTTGACAATCCTACACTGTAAAAAAAAATGGGCATTTCTGGACCAACTGCTTGCCCTAAATTGGTGTAAATATCAACTTCCCAACTTTTGGTCACTTAATGACCAATTCTCATTGGCAGGCCATTTTGACCAGAAGATGGGTAAAATATAAATTACCAGCTGATGATTAGACAGCCTTTCCCATTTAATTGGCCACTTAAAACTTTCAATTTTATTGGTCAAATTATCTTACACAATTAGATGGCAAGTTGGATTTGATCAATACATGGAACATTTACTCAATCAATTAATGGTCAACTATACTTCAACAACATTGGTGTCTCGTAAGTTCTCATAAAGTGGTCACTGGCTTTTCGCCAACGTTTATAAAGTCTATTATCACATTTTACGGTCAACTATGATTTCAAGAAAATTTGTCAGGCTTATTTTCACATTTTTCATACCTCACTGTAAAAACGACGGGCAAATGAGTTGATATGTATGTAGACCAGTGTTGGTCAACAATTCAAAAGGTTAAACTCTTGGTCAAATTTTTCCCAAAAGTTGGAAAATTGTTACCCAAATCAACTCACAATGAGGTATTTTCAAACCAATGTTGGGTAAAATTACATTGCCCAGCAGTGTTTTACCCAACATTTTTGCAGTGATATAGTTGTCAAGAAACACATATAAATTCACAGTTATCGCTTGGGCTCACGTCCTACATCACATTATGTCAAAACGAGCATCATAAATTTATCACAGTATTATTCAGCACATTACGGCCACTTTATGAGCTCTGTGCCATGCGGTTAAATGTAAAATGGTCCGCTTCAAAATTTGCACTTATTGATGGTCATGTTGTTGCCAACTAATATTGTGGCATCGATAATATGCCTGTGACATGTCCAACTGAGAGGACAACATACCCAATATTGGGCGGATCCAGGAATTTTCGCAGTGTGGATTTCATAAAGAATTAATTCTGAAATGTAGACAGGGTTGTTATCTCCGGACACTTGGCCTCCGAAAATCAATATGGGGGTTGGGTTCAAATGTCCTACAACAATTGTTGTCTTAATGCCTTTCACCAAATGAGAGCACCCGGATATGGGTAAATATTATGGAAAAAAGACCAACATCTTCACTAAAAAGGACCAACATCTGAACAATTCAGCTTTAACCAACGTTTTAATGCCCATGTTACCCAATTGAGAGGACAAAACATACCCAACTCAGTTTGGGTAAGGAAGTTACGATGATCTTGTCAAATTTTCTACAATTTTTGTCTGATGTCTATCACCAAATTAGAGCACCCGGTGTTGGGTTAATATTATGAAAAATTACCAACATCTTCACTAAAAATCACCAACTTCTGGACAATTTAGCTTTATCCAACGTTTTAATGCCCAACGTTTTTATAGTGTATACCTCTCCCCTCGTTGCGCATTTCTGGGCCTTATTTTTTTGATAACAGCAATATGCACTATGCGTAGCAGCTACTTTAGAGTGCAATGCCTTTGTTTTGATTGGGTATGCATGAGTGAATTGTTTGTGCGGTCATTGTCTACTGAATTAAACAAATAACAAAATATGTCCTTCTTAGATGGCCGCCACACCTAAGGTCTTTAAAAAAAAAACTAGCACTTTAAATTGCTTTTATTCGAATGACTTTACCTTTTCGCGTTCAACAGTTGAATTTAGTATTGTACTTTTAGAACTAGCTGATATTTAGTAGTTGATTGAATAGACTGGTTTTTAAAATGTACCGTCGATTCGAAAGAATTCCAATGACTAGGTTGAATACTTCAACTTAAATGACATCGATTCAAATTAAATGAGCCTTATTTTCTGGTGGATTTAACAATTGAATGGACTGTAGAATTGTTTTAACCTAACATTTAATTGACGTATCTTTAATTATATATACTGCATATGAAAAGCTTCGTTCGTTCGTTCGTTCGTATGGACTGATGTCTGGTTTGACAGCTTCAGTTCGAGAATCGAGAAGTATTCTCTTAACAGGATCAACACGGGAAGTAGCTGTCATGATCCCTAAAATTGTGCAAAAGCTTCGTTATACCGGCGAAAACACAAAGTGGGTTTAATTTGATCAATAACTCTATCAATACAGGGGTAGTTTGGGGTCTTGTTGTATGCTTCGGCCGAATTTTCAAAAAA